ACAAGAAAAGGTTCCCCCGGAAAGGAGGCTCGGTCGGGAAAGCGACGCGGGACACCTTCCTGCAAAACCCGGCGTAGGAAAGCCGGCTTCTCTAGCAGCCACCGCCACTCGTCTTTTCCTTGGGATGAGGCGCAGCCCCGTTGGTTGTTGCGGCGGCGGCGGCTTGTGCCGCCTGGGATGAGAAACTCTTCGGCCACACCCGCCGCAGCCTCCTCCTCCCTGCATCGCCAGCGGCAGCGGCGCCTGGGAGCAGAGCGGGCCTCGGCATTAGAACCAAGAGTAGCAGCAGGAAAAGGCGACACTGTGTGGGGGTAAGCGAGTCGGGAAGGGGGCTGGTCCGTCGGGGAAAGAAGGGTCATTCTGTGGGAAAGCAAGGGGGTAAAGTCCGGAGGGGGAGCCCTTTGCTGTGTCTCTGTTCGTGCGTGAGTTAGCGTATCTTGGAGTGAGTAATGTCTGTTCGTGCGTGTGTCAGTGTCGTGGAGTATGAAGGGAAAATGGCTGACGACTCAGTCCTCATTCTTTGCCCGGCCTGAACTGGGCCTTGCAGGAGAATGGGGCGCGCACACCCCATATCCGCAGTCCCGGGGAGGGAGGGGAGACAACCTGCAGAGCTGGCCGGCTGCTGGCCTGACCCCTCCTTAAATAGCGAGGAAAACTGGCGGAGAAGAGAGTAAAAGGAGTACCCGGCAGACCTTCCCGGCGTTTAGTTCCTTTTGATTCTCGTTCCACTTCATAGCAAACGCCATTATTGAGGTGGAGTGATTGGAATCGTGTGGGCCTAGTCCACGCCAGGAAATAAGGCTCTGCACAAGCTCTTTTCTTTCTAAATCCGGTCTCAGATGTTGTGGCCCAGCGGTTTCGTCTTCGTTGTAAACATTATTGTCATGGGTGCAGGTGGGCTGTGTCATGGCTGCACTCTACGTTTCCAGTAAAGCTGTGATATTATAGGATATACCTTCAGATATCAGTATCTGTTCTCCGTTAGGTTTAAATTGAGCGTAGTTTGCTTCTTTTAATATATTTGGCGTTTTATAACTTTATATTGGGTAGAATCTACATAATAAATAATTTTGCCTGGTTAATTATATATATGAGACTGATAAATCTATATATAAAAGACTGTAAGAGGCTAAACTGAGAAGTTCACAGTCTCATAGGTATCTTTAAGACTAATTGGTAGTCTTTCGTGAGCACACAGTAAGATACTTGAACATTTTTAAGGTGGAATTTTATGTTTTAAAAAACTGGTGGAAGAACTCCCATTGATTTTTATACAGCCTGCTTGTGGCTGTAACAAACCAATATTAAGTTTGCTACACAGTCCAGACTAGATATTAAATATGAATAGAAAAAGATATAGCTGTAATTAGGTGAGGACTGCTAACTCAAGCCTAATGAAACTCAGTGAACTTCTAATAAATATGCGTATGGATAGAATATAATAATGGTAAATTATTTTTGTATTAAGTTTTTCAAGCTACTTTAAAATCTTCCCAGTGCTGGGCTGTTCTGTCAATATCCTAATTTTGCACAACTTATTTTAAGCTATAATTCTAGTACAGACAGTTTGGATGGACTTATGTATTGATATAAATGTGAAATCAGGGGGTGTGGTTTCCATTATTTAGTACAGTACCCAGTCAACCATGGCCTAGTTACATTTTATGTCCAGTTTTTTTGTAGATATAACTAGTTGTACTGCAGTGTGTACTTGCGTATATGCATTAATTGATTTTTTGTTTTCCCATTTGTATTATACTGAGTTTTGTTACTAGAAAGAATCTTTTGGCAGAAAGGCCTTTAACTGAATTCATCAGAACTATTAAGTGTTGCAGGGATATTAAAGCCTGTTCCATTTCAGCAAATGAATAATTTGGAAATGGGTTGTGACAGCTTTAGTAATTTCTTAAGTTGTTGAGGTATGTTGTGTTGGCTTTGATTTTTTTTAGGTAATTGAAAGGACATTAATTTGGAAATTGGACAGGCGCAGTCATCCTTATATTAAAATATTTCAATCATATCTGGAGCTAAGAATGGCATACCACTGAAATTTATGAATTGTTTGTAATACAGTTATTAATATACTAATAAAGGTTGGAATAAGTTGCCATCCTATTTATTCAAATATTTATAAAAATTACTAGCAAATATTTTATTTAAACATGGAAACTACATTGATCTAAAATTAGTGTTTTTCCAAGTTAAAATGCAATGTGTACTTGCTTAGAAGTATATCCCATTGAAATCAATGGCAGCTGCTTATAAGTATTGTATAGGATGGGCTGTGAAAGCAAGACTGTACTAGGGGGATTTCCTCCCCCATGCCTCTCATAAATATAGGTCATAAAGCAAACACACAAAACTTCTCCAAATGACTCTTCGTCATTAGTTCACTTTCAGCCTGCTCAAATTCAGTGTATTTGAATATTTCCTAATGAAGAAGCTATGCTACTTTTTAAAAGATCCAGTAAAGTTAAAATAAGTTTCTTAAGACATTTACAAAAACAATTACTTTACAATAATACTTAACTAGTGTGAAAAGAAAGGATGAAATACAGATACTAGGGGGGGGAAAATAAAGAGGATCTTACGCTGTATTGAACTGAAAGTAAGTTATTTTTTCTAAAACTAATTTACCTTTAAAATAGGAGGATCATCTTAGATTCACCTTATGAACACACACAAAAATGGAGAGGTCTAATCTTTGGGGAGAAGGGATATCTTAAATTCAGGGTCATGTTTCTTTTAGGTAAATATGTAACCTTACATGTTCATTTCAAATACCAGAGATTTGAAACAAGGCCATTATTCTAAACATAATTGGGGAAATAAATTGTCAGGTGGTTATCATGGTATTTATAGTTAAGAATATAGTAATTGTTCTTTTGTGCGAGAGCTGGGAACTAGCATTTAAAGTTTAAAATGTAGCAGATTTTAGAATTGTTTTGAAAAAGTAATGGTTCTACTCACTAAATTGAGCTAAAATTATTTCAGAAATTAAAAGCACTTAACTGGTAATAGGAAAGATATTGTACAGTGATACTTTAAAATCTGTTCTTGAAATAATCAACTGTGTTTGAAGTGCCTTCATAAAATTATTTCTTTTTATATATGATTTTCAAGTGTACAACTTCAGTAAAGAATGTTTTGTTCTCATTTGTATTTGTGTCTTTGAAGTGCTTGTCAAATTCATATGACTAGTTCATATGACATGTTCAGATATGAAACTCTGGAGTCCATGTAGCCTTAGTATTTTCTAAAATGTTTGTGTCTTTATAAAAAAGCATGTCTCATATATTTGCTGTACATCAATTTGATTTTTCATATGTATCTGTTTTGTTCTATTATTGCAGTTGTGTATGTGTATTCAGTTTTTACAATTACCATTTCTCTAGTTGAGACCAGTGGGACTCAGCCTAATTGAGACGTGGATCCAAAACACCACTAGCTGGAAGTAAGTTCTTTAATGACATATATTAACTTTGGGTGCACAATATACGCTGTTTGAGTTAAACAGCTCTTTTGGTAAGGGAACAACATTGAACCAGCAATACTTTTCCTTTTTCTACTCTCTGCACTTGAATAAATTTTATTGCTTTGGGGAAAGAATTCTTCATAATTTCAAAATTTATATGAAGTACCAGGTAACTGTTCATTAAGCCGTTACCTACTACTTCATGGAGATCTGAAATTATGAAGAACAGGAGTTGTATTTGTAAGTAATTTCCTATCTTTAATAATATTAATCATATTCTTAAATGTTCTATACAGTTCTATAACATGTTAAGTAATGCTGATTATTCTGCCTTTTTATATTATTTCTTTTACAGCAAAGGGCAGCAGATAAAAACTGTTGAACTATGCTTTATGATCTGGTGTTCTCTCTGCACCTGTGTTTTGGAATTATGTACTTTACATTGTGATCCATAGTTATAAGAATAATAGTAAATGGCTTTATATTGTCTAGTCTTATGTTCTACAGGAGCTTGCATCTAGATTTTGAAATAAATGTTTGCATTTTGGTTGCATTGTTTTATCAGTGCAAGGGGAATAGTGGTGCTATTGATGTGCATAGGATAGTGCAAAATATTACTTTCTCCTCTTCTGCCATGGGCTTTCTTTGCCTGCATTTGACTTCTATAACACTTTTCTTAACTGCTATAGAATTGTAATATGTCTAGAGATGTAGTCTCTTTTGCTGTTTACTAATGTTATAACTTGCAATAATTTAGGAACAAAAGGTATGAATCTTCTTTGGCTTCAACTTACATGATTTGTTTGTATATCTATAGAGATATATTTGATAAAAAAAATCTTTGGATTTTCTTCTGAAATATTTAAACTGAATCTAAAATATGTTAATGTATTTAAGTCAAGAAAAACAATTGTATGCCACAAGAACTAGATTTATTTTTGGTATAATAGATTTTTTTAAACCAATATTTTATTTGCAGTACAGCAGACTTGGGTTTTCACTTCACTCTATGCATTCGCTAACAATACTGGGAATGACCTATGTTTAAAAATATCTCCTGTGATGGTAGAAAGATTAAGAGATCTTATTTTATTCATGCTGTGGCTACTTGAGAAATTATTATTAGATTTATATCCCATCTTGGCAGTCCAAGAATTGTCTGCTTAAGTGATATTTACTTTTTTTACTAGCAGTTCTACTTTTTGGAGAGGTTCACACATTGTACTAAGTTATAGTTTGCCTTATAAGTTGTTTCTAAGGTACATTTGGCTATTTTTGTACATATTACCACAATCACAGGGTTCACAGAAAACGCTAAGCCAAAACTGAACAAACTGCATTTGGATTGTTGCGATGTTACAGTACAGCCAGTTAGCGGGAATGTCCTGTGTTAGCATTGATCTTATATTTATCTTTCAAATCTACTGTTGTTTTTTTCTGTGGATCCAAATCTTGCTTCAGTCTGTACTCTAGATGTTTTGGGTCAAATTTCATGAAAGATTTAATTATTAATTTCATCCACTTTAATAATGCAGGCATTGGTTTGTGTTCAGAATTTTTTTCTGACATTTACATGCCTTGTTAACTGGATTGTTAGAGGTCTGCAGAAGTCCAAGCCTATACATTATTATATGTAGTGTTCATAAACACAGTCTAGGTATCATATGAACTGATCCTATGTATATGCTTTAACTCTCACTCTATTAAACAAATTGTCTGCTCCAATTGTCAATTGGAAAGATTGGTGATGAACAAATTATGGCTGGTTCTAGTCTAAATCACAACTTCTGCACTACTGATTTAGATGGTGCTAGATTTTGTTCTTATGCTGCAAGAGATGCTAAATGGTTTAAAAAAAACAAACTTGAACAGTGTTTTGGGCCAAGTATTCTTGCTCCTCAAATGGCTTGTTTGGAAAATAGCATTGCACAATTCAAATATATAGCTTTACAGGCAGTTTGGGTTCATATGCATATGCTTCTGTTTTGTGCTAACATATTCTAGATACCAATGCATGCTGCACCACTGCTCTACATCTCAGTCCTAGTAGAGGTTTTTAAAATAATTTTTTAAACTTTTAAAAAATAAGTTATTTTAAACCTTTGAACAAAACGAAAAGGCAAAAACCTATTACCAGGGGTTAAATTCCCATTCACTTTTAAACTGTATATTATATTCCCTCTTTCTTCCAGGAGCTCAATGTGATGTACATAGCTCTCCTTCCTACAAAAAATTGCCCATAGCAACTCTGTGGAATATATTGGGCTTTGAGTGTTTGGCTCAGTATTGTATATTGAGCTTCCATGGCTGAGGGTGAACTTGAACCGGGGTCTTCTGATTATAGTTCCACACCTTAGCCAGTATTCCATGCTATTCATTAATTTTTGTTCTTACTCTCCTGATTACAATTCTGGTGTCCTGGTTGCCCATTTGAATGTTACTATGAATTGACCGTGTCATTTAATTTAGAGAATTGTTCAGACTGAAAGATCCTTCATATTTTTTATTGACACAATGCTACATTATCTTCCAAACTGGCAGTCAGGCCCAACTCCACAACTCTTGTTTTCTCAGTAATCCTATGTACATGTTATGAGAAAGTTAATTTATTTTTGGTTAGAGACCAACCTTGACAACAAATGGACCATTTTCCATTATATTCTTGAAACTTTTGAAACATAATGTTCTGACTGTATTGGAAGTGTTTTTAGCTTTTCTCTAGTGCATGGAGAAGGAAGGGGAGATGTGTTTACTGTTTGGCATCCTGGTGAGCTGACAGCTAAATTTTTAAAATAATGATCAGGAGTATCTTTTCTTCCACATGGGAGAGTAGTAATGATGGCTGAGAAGTATAAGGGAGAATTTGCTTATTACCCTTTATTGAAATACAAAAATATTTGGTGGGCGGGTGCATATATATATATAGTGCATAGGGCCTTGGTTTTGGGAAAAAAGACCAAGGTTCAATGCTATGTAGAGTTCAGAAAGAGTGCAATGAGGAAATCTCAGGCAACAAGTCTGTCTTGTGGGAAGAATAATACAGTCAGAGACACAGTGGCATACCTAACATATTTGACACCCAGAGCAGATTTTTTTAAACATCCCCCTTCTTCAATGTTGAGAACCAGTTTGGTGTAGTGGTTAAGATATCAAGACTAGAAACTAGAAGCCTATGAGTTCTAGTCCTGCCTTAACCACAAATCTTGAGCCAGTTACTTCTCTTAGTCTTAGGAAGAAGGAACTGACAAGCCACTTCTGAAAAAATGCTGCAAGAATACTGTGGTGGAGAGTCACCAGGAGTCAAAACTGACTTGAAGGCACACATTTTTTCCTCTGTTGCTGCTACACTGCCACTGACTGCCAAATAGCTGATCTGCACACATGCAGCAGTGACCTGACTCCATACCTGCCACTAGCCTCCTTGTATCTTCATCAACAGTCCCCTTATTGCTTGCACCCATGGTGGACCACTTCTGCTACCTCTCACCCCCAGAATGCCAATGCAGAAACATTTTCAGATGCATCAGGAAAGTGCAGATTTGGCACAACACAGCTGTTGAATACTGAAGAACAGACCTAGAGCAGAATTGTCTTTTGGAAACCAATCTTCTGTTTCCCAACATGGAAAATTCTTAGTATCCAATTCCAAGAAGCTCAGAGCAGTATATTAATCTTATGAATAACCTTGTGAGATACATTATACTGCCTCAATAAGTATGTGGTTTCTCAAATTTAAAATTAAAATGTTTACTACATTCAAGTTTATTTAATATATCCAGTGTGTTATCCCCATTAAAATGAGGAACAGTTAAAATCAGTAAATAAAACATGTTCATTATTTTTGCTCTTGACTTCCTAGAATAAGCGGCTAATCAGTTATAACTGGAAATAAATGTTTGTTGAATCATTGTTAATCAAGTTTTCTGTGATCTTCCATCTTTGTTCTTGTGCTTGCATTCAGTAGTTTTGATCTTGCCTAAGGTAAAAGTTGGAGAATAAATGTTTTCTATTAATATGTTATCTAAATCTGTATTTAAATAGTCTTGTTGAATAGATACTGTGTTACTTAGGAAAATTATTATAAAATTATTTTACATGTGCAAGTGACTATAATCCTATGTTAAATTGTTCTATTAAATCCTGATATAGTACATTATTTGTTTTTCTAGCTAGCTGATGTATGAATTGTATTTAGAAAAAGTGTTCAAGCAATTCTGTGGTTCAGACATAACATTCACTAAAAACTAAAGAGCAGAAGTAGGTAAGTGTATATTTTATGTATAGATTGACACTTGTTTTCAGTTTTATCCATGATTTGAATTCTATACTTTATTAAGACATATAGAGTTTGTAAAACATTTGAATCATATTTAGATCTGTGTTACTTGAAATTGTTCATTATCATAGTGAAAAAATATTGCTTATGAACAGAATTATAGCTAAGTAAGATTTCTGACACTCAGCATATATTTAAATTAGGTTTGCTTTAACTCATATGACAACTTTTGTTTATATGACCATTGCCAATCTCAGATTATTTAATAAGCCTTCTACTACTTTGGTATGTTGTTAATCTTGAGGTTGATGTAATATCTTGCATTTCCTAAGCCTATTAGTTTTACATAACAAGTCAAACTGCTTAAGGCTTATTCACATAAGTCATGAAAAAATTATATAGTAACTGAAGGGAAATTTAATGGTGGATCTCAGCTTAAGCAGGTACAAAAATAAAACCTATATTCATAATAAACCATAACAAATATCACTTCACAATACTGTCACATGCTTCTGTTCAAGGCTAGCTAGCCAACCAGAAACGTCTAGAATATTTGGGTTATTCTTCCATCTAATTGTTTGCCTCCCAGCACACACATCATATATACATAAATGTGCATTTGTTTAGTATTCTGCACCTTCTGAGCTTCCCCTCATAGAGATGTTCTTAATTTTATTTCCTCAAAGGGTTTTTCTTCCATAAATATTGTTTTGGTGGCTGCCTGTAATTCTGTGAATAATGCCATTTGGTTATGCAAAGTTTCCTGCTTTTTGTGCATAAAAAATTGGAAAAATTTTGAATGTTAAAAAAATCCAAAGGAATTGAATGTTTAAGTAAAAAAAAAAATTGAAAGACATAGAGAATCATGCATCTAGTCTGAATGACAATATATTTTCTTAGGATGCCAGCATAAATTAATTTAATGACCTGAACGGTTAATATTTCTGCCACTTTAGTTCAGGAAATGCCCAGTGCCTATTGATCTGATTTTCTTACATTCTCAGGTAAAAGCAAAAATACACTGGCATTTCCAAAAATGTTCTGAAAGCATAAGGTAAAGTATACTGAATTGTGAGTCGATCTGGATATTACAAGAAAAACAAGTCTTATGCCTATAATTTTAGAAGTGTATTTCCTTATAGTTACCATTATAAATGCATTTAACAAATATGGTGAAACTCATCTTTTGGCAATTGAAAATATGTAAAGGGTATTTCATCTGGTTGCATACTTCATTGGTTCCTGTTACATCTTGAAATATTGAATCAAGTATTCAATGTAGGAATGAACTTTTCTTGAACATTTTGTTTACTGCCAAGTATTAATACAACATATACAGAAAAATTAGTTTTGCCATTAATATTGTTAGAAGCTTGTTTTGTTTATATCTGCTAAAATCATACAAATTGTAGCTTGTATTTTTAGATCTAGAAAGCTTGCAGTATGCATAGAAGTATTTCTAAGTTTTGATCCAAAACCAAATTAAATATACAGTATGCTGTTTCGATGGCTGAAGTTTTTGATTCACATTGATGACTCATGTCCATAAGGATGTGAGGGTTAAAAAAAAAGCCTGACCTTATTTAGTTCAGGCTCAGTGGGAAAATATTTTCTGCTTTGAGAACAATGTGCAGCAAACATGGAGTTCATTAGCCTCTTCTCACCACCTTTAGGCTCAACTGAAAGATGCTACCATTTTTAATCACAAAGTCATCAGTTTCTGGTACTGTATGTATAACTTAGTATAGCTGTGGCTTGTTTAGTGTAGAGTTAGTGGAAAGCAAAATTATAAAACAAGTGTTTCGTCCTGGCTTATTCTTTTTAAATCTATGGGTAACTTTTTTTTTAGAATGGTAAATATTTGTGACTCCCATTAGTTTCACAGTGAGAAGAACTTGCAAATAACAAAATAGGTAATTCTGTTCCAGTTTCTGTATTCTTACTTGTAAAATATGTGTATTCATACAGGTAGTCTTTCGTCAATGATGGTAATTGGGACTGGAATTTCCGTCGCTTAGCAATGTGGTTGTAAAGCATGATGTCACATGACCACATCATATAATAATGGCACTCCCAGCACTCCCATTGCTGTTGTTAACTGAATCCCACCCAGTTGTTAGGTGACGACCCACACTGATCCAAGCCATTCTCGACTTGGTCCCTCCCAGCCCTGAGCCTTGGTAAGGTAAGGGACTGCCTCCTCTTCAACCCTCCCACCTGCCTATCTCCCCTCCCCCATCTCTGCCCTTTCGGCCACGCTGCATTCCACTGCTGCTGGCCATGCTGCTCTGGGCTCCGCTGGCCTTGCCGCCCCTAGCTGACCTTTGCCATCTTCTTCCTCCAGCTGCTGAGGAGGTGTGCCCGGCCTAGCCTTTCCCAAGGCAGATGCTGGCTGTGCCAGGCCTTCTTCCTAAGACTGCGTGTGTCCTTGTCCAAATCGTGTGTGGCCTTTTCATGAAGGTTTGGAAGGCTTCAAAGCCTTGCAAGAGGGCCACACATGATTGCACCTTGTCCAAATCGCGCGTGGCCTCAGGAAGAAGGTCTGGTGCAGCCAATAACTTCCTTGTGAAGGGCCAGGCTGGGTGTGCCTCAGCAGCAGCAGGAGGAAGAAGATGACGAAGGTCAGCCGGGGGCAGCAGGGCTGGTAGGGTGAACAGAGTCCAGGATGGTAGGGCCAGCGGGGAGCAGAGGGCGGCGGAGTGCGGGATTGCCGAAAGGGCAGAGATGGGTGGAAATAGGCGGGTGGGGGGAGTTGAAGCGCCCCTGAAGTCATAAGTGCGAGCGGTCTGCCAAGCACCTGAATTTTGATCACATGACCTCGGGCGTTGCAACGGGCATAAATTCGGGGACTGGGCGTAACTACCATTCGTTCAGTGCCACCATAACTTCAAACAGTTGCTGGACAAATAGTCATTAAGCAAGGACTACCTGTAGTTGCACAACCAGATCTTTTTTGTGCAGCTCTTCTTGTATATAATCTTCTATAGATTATATGTAAGAATCCTGCTCTTAAGCTCTGTACAACTATTTTTTTTTTTAATATTTTTTTATTTTTACAACAAACACAAAACATACATGGACAAACAA